CTGGTTGTGTAGTTTGTAAAGTGTTACATTGCTAACCAAAAGGCTGTCTCTCTGGTGGTTTGAATCTACCAGCTACTTCAATGGAGAAATCTGGGCAGTCTCCTGCCATTGTGATTTACAGTCTCAGAAACCTAATGGAGGGTTGCTGTAAGTTAGAGTCAACTGGACTGCAGTGAGGTTTTTTGGTTACCATTTAAATATCTACTAATATCCACACTATCTTCTATGACCTACAAATGATTTTGTGTAGCTTTATTTTTCCAAAACTGTAGGAGATTTTCACTTTTATTTTTGTTACTTTTTTTCCAATTTTATTTTCCTTTATTGTGATCAGAGATCAGAGGTTGCATGACATAGATTCTTTGGCATTTGTTCAAATGTTCTTTATGGTCTAAAATATGCTGCATGTTAATCTGAAGAAAATGTACATTACTTAGTACAGATGGTTATTTTATTTTCTACAATGACCTATATCATAATTTTAATATGAAAAAATATAGAAGAGCTAATTAGGTTATAACTGATAAAAAAATTACCTATCTTCTGATAGAAACATAACATTATTACTACTGAGCATTGATTATGCCTCAATTGACCAAGTGCTATGTCCTAAGCACAGGGATATTTTAAAAACCAACCACCAAACCCACTAGCATTGGGTTGATTCTAATTCACATTAACCCCATATATTACAGAATAGAACTCTTCATTCAGATTTTCTTAGCTCTAATGTTAACCCAGTTGGCCTAGTAGACAGAAAGTCATGCTCCCAAGCCAAAGGTGGGAGACTCTATTCCCTGGCCCTCAGGCATGCCTTTAATTGTTTGTTGTGAAACATTCTTCTAGGTCATATAACCCTGGTATGTTGTCCACTTGCTGTAAAGAGGTAACTCATGGTTGCTGTGAAGCCAAACACTGTGACATTGATGAGTCAAATGCAAGAACGGTTACCCATGGTAGACAGTATTTGGTGGCGCTCCACAATTAAAGCAAGCTTGGAAGCAGGAGTGGCATCCCCTTCCATAATAGTTTGCCTCTGGAAACCTTATGAACCTGGAGAAAGGGTGAAAGTTATACAGGTGTCAAGGTCTTTCATTCATAGGGTCGCTATGGCCTACTGATGGCACTTAACAACAACAACAATGTTTAAGGAGGGAGTTCTGGTGACCTAAAGGTAAGTAGATGTATTCCCCAAAGACATGTGGCTCAAATTCTCCAGCTTCTCTGCAGGAGAAAAAAAATGGGCAATCTCCTTCCATGTGATTTGTTGTTGTTTGTTGTTGTTGTTGTTGTTGAGTACAAAGTCAGAACTGACCCACAGCTGACCCTCCAGCAGAGGCAGTTAATTTCATGGGAGGACATTGCCTATCATTCTTCAGCAGAGCAGCTGGGACCTCAAACCATGTGCTTTTGGGATTGCAGTGCAGCTTTATACTAGGCCATCAGAGCTTCCTCCTGTGTGATTTACTCCTTCTGAAAACTCACTAGAGGGTCAGCTATGCATCCATTCAAACTTGACAGCAATGAACAACAGTAACATTTAGGGAAGCCGATTGTCACATCTTTCTCCCAAGGCCACCACTGGATTGCTTTGAACCAAACCTTTAGGTTTGTCTCAAAAAGTTATCAAGTCAGAAGTGACTCACAGCTAATCCTCCAGCACATTTTCAGGGCTGTAAGTTATATGGGAAGGGACTGCCCATCTTTCTCTCCTCGAGGTGCCACTTTGGGATTAGCAGCACAACTCCCTACCCATTAAACTACCAGACCTTCCTTTAAGGAGGTCTGACTCATAGCTGACCTATCAGAGAGTTTTTAGAGGCAGTAAATCGAATAAGAGGAGATTATCCAACTTCCACATAGCAGCTGGTGGATTTGAACTGCATGACTTTGGATTGACAGCACAGCTCTTTCTCACTAGGACACCTTTAAGATTAGTGATAGTGATGGTGGTGGTGAAAATTGTTCCACCTGGTGACCACAAAACACTACAACAAGATATTTTTATTTATTACCTTACTTAATCATCATGTTACCCTATTGTTGCTGTTGTTAGGTGCTGCTGACCCTATATGGAAAAGATAATTTTTGTACCTACTTTGCAGATGAAGAAATAAATATAAGATTCATTAACCTGCCTAAGTCACAGAGCTAACTAAACAATGGCGTCTGGTCCACAACTATTATGTTATACAACTTTAACTTAGCTATAGACTCATGTGCTGTTCCAGTCGTTTCTGGATAATCTTCAGTAAAATCTTGCTTGCATGTGAAATCAGTGAGATTGTTCTGTAGTTTCCACATTCTGTTGGGTCACCTTTCTTTGGGATAGGAACAA